TAACATGGTATCAGAGCCTAAGGTTTTGAGTTCAAGTCCTGGCTTTCGCAATTTATCTAAAAATTGCTGGTAGCTCCCCTTTGTGTCCACATATAGGCCTCTTGAGTCATATGTGAGTTTCGCGCGCTGTCGCTCTCTTCCGGTTGCACGTATTGACTTGTCTTCCCCGTCACACGCGAGAGGGGGTGTTACAGTATATGTGGATTGCACAAGCCCTTTCCATCAGTTCGGACTTTTGGTTGCGTTGGCTAGTGCATGAAGCTTAACATGGTATCAGAGCCTAAGGTCTTGAGTTCAAGACGCGACTGGCGCAATTAAATTGCAGCCCACTTTCGGTCCATGTTTAGGCCTGAGGGAGCCACACGTGAGGGGGAGTATTGACGTACAATGTGTTGCCTAGTCTTTTCCATCAGATCGGTCTTTTGGTTGCATTGGCTAGAGCATGCACTTCTACGTGGTATCAGAGGCCAAGGTCTTGAGTCATACGTGAGTTTCGCGCGCCGTCGCTCTCTTCCGGTTGCACGTGTTGACTTGTCTTCCCCGTCACACGTGAGAGGGGGTGTTATAGTATATGTGGATTGCACTAGCCCTTTCCACCAGTTCGGACTTTTGGTTGCGTTGGCTAGTGCATGAAGCTTAACAAAACCCAACCCATATGTGGGGCGAGTTTGGGGCCGCTCGAACACGACCCGGACAGAAAATGACCACCCAATCGGACCCCACATACCTAGCCCAAATGTCCGGGCTGTCTGGCATCCCTCAAACCCAACACGTATGTGGAGCGAATTTGGGGTCGCACGGACGCGTTCGCCACGTCAGACCAGCCCATCCCACAAAATCCCGTTACTATCCTCACGTGGACCAAGCCCTAGCCATTTGTCTCAGTCCACTGCAGTCCGCTTTGCTCCGCCTCCCACCCCTTCCTCTCCGGTTATCTCCAGCATGACTAGCAGCGGATCTGAATCCGGTCGGCTCGGATGCATCGATCGGGAGCTCGCCGCCTGTTCGCACGAGGAGGTGATAGCCGTCTGACTCGTGTTCCACCGATCCCCGAAGGATACCCGAGCTTTGTCTCGGAGCCGCCCGCAGCGTATCCACCAGTTCGGCGCCTTTACCTCCACTGCGGCTGTGGTCCAGTGTTGGCACTGCGTCGAGTGGTAGCTCACGGCACGTGTCCGCTCCATCACCGCATCAGGCATGCGCCGGGTGAAGGTCTCGGCACGCCGGCGAGAGCGGCACCGCAGCAGACCGTTGTTGGGTCGTTGTCCTTGCGACATCAGCCTTGGAGTCTGAGGCCAATGGCAGCAATGCGCAAGGCCATGAATGCACCGGATGCGGTGGCACGTCCGCCATAGAGGGACGATGTGCTCGCCGTCAGAGGGAGAAGGAACGCCGTGATGTCAGAGGCAGTTTGATGGTATGATGAACTCCCCTGCGCTATGTCCAGACTATGTACGAACTATGTGCTTTGGACTGGAAGTGCGCTATGTCCGGACTATGTATGAACTATGTGCCTTGGAATGAAAGTACGTGTGTTTATCTACATTGGATACTTGTCTATGAATTTGGTGGTTTGGATATGAGGGGGACGGTTGCGGACGCGGAAAATGAGTGGCGGTCCAGAGCTGTCTGCGGATGTGTTTGTGAATTAGCAATTCCGGTTGGAGATGCCCGGGCGACATAGAAAAATGTGCATTGGTATTTGGACATGAACATTGGACATTGTGAATGGTCTTGGCGTTTAATGGCCATCTACCTGACAAGCTAATAAGCTCTGTTTGGACAAAATGTTTACATATTTTCTTGAAGATTTTTTTTTTTGAAAAGGGGGACTCCCCGGCCTCTGCATCAGAGTGATGCATACGGCCATTCTTGAAGAATTTATGATCATTAATTTCTATATAGTCCGGTAAGCTCATGAATGGCAAATGTTTTAACTCTACCTGAATATTGGATTGATCGGCAACTAAATTTCGTTGAATGGTGTCTGACTGAATCTTTGATGTTCTTATTGAACAGGCTGGTATCAGTTATGCTTTTGGAGTTGCTTTCAGGTTAGTTAAATAGGATTTCTTTACAACTCAAGAATCGAAAGTTCATGATGATTTTTTTTATAGAGTGCTGCCATGAATCCTGTCTAAAGATACTGAAATATACGAGAAAGTTTTAACTTGTGTTTCATTCTCAAGGATGTGATATAAATCTAACCACTCGCATTTATATTGAGCAGCTGGTTGTATCTTCAACTTCTGTATCGACACGCAGATAACCTGTCAAAGGAAGATGTTCCTGAAGTTTTTCTAAAGAAGAAAGTGAAGAAGTAGGTTTGGAAATGTCTCTGTGATCTCTACTCAGTCTCCTATCCCTCACGTTCTGATTGTTTTGATCTATTATTGTTCTGTATACATGGAAATGCTAGAATCGGCATTCGAAGCGAGGATTTGAAGGATACAATAGAGAAGACATTGGGTGGCTCTCTATTTGTTCTTTCATCCCCAAGGCTTATAATTCCTGCAGTGATTTTTGGGTTGTCAACTTTTTCTAGTCATTTTCAAAATAGCATTTTTAACTTTGAGGTAAAGTACAGCTCTTTTTCATTATAGATCTCATTCAATTGGTGGTGCCAATCTTAGATTTATGTTGACCTTATGAATATGTAATACAATATCTCATTTCTCTGTTTGCAGCTTGTTCCAGGGATGATGGGGTTCTTTGCGTACAAGGCCGCAGCTTTGGTACAAGTCTACAGAGATAACGATGATCTTAGATTGATACTCCCCGAGGACGATCCTGACTACACCTGAAAAGTTTTGAGGATGAGAGTTTTTTCACCTAGTTTTCCTTTATAAAGCAAAGGGCACATTGATGTATAGTTTATGTTATAGTTTGAAATAAATCCCGCTGATCTTTTGTGTGCATGATAAAAAATAATGCAATGACAGAAGGGATGGTAAAGAGCTGGAAAGACTGGAATATTACCGCTAGGCTAGCAATTCTGTTTCCAGATACAACACTACACAGCTTAACTGGGATACTCTTGCAATCACAGGCTGCAGAAAGCAATGCACCAGCTGGGAAAAAAAAAGCGCAGGATCGGAGTACAATGCGGTGTGCAGCAACCAGCAATTGCGCATTGCCATACGCCACAGCAAGTCGGAGATCGCAGAGGAGTATTCTTACTAGTACTACTAGCTAAATGTTTTTCGGAGTAAGTCAGTTACAAATTGGGCAACCTTAGTGCCGGGCAGTACAACACTAGTACTATTAACATGATGATGATCAGAAGCTGGCCGAGTTCCTCCGCCGGAGCTGGTTCTTCGGCTCCTGCTGCGGCACACAGTGCACCACCGGTTCGAATGCCTGCATCACACAGCAATTGGATCCGTCAGGTCTGCAAAACTGAAGATACATTTTGCCGCGCACACGGATTTGGGCTCACAATTTTCTAGGCAGTGGGGGTCAGGGTTTCGTACGCACGAAAAAATGCAGACAAGGACACAAATCTCACCTTTCGGAGAGGTTGTCACTGGCAGGCTTATACATGCTGTCTTCAGATTTCATGACATGTGCATGGAAAGGAGCACGAGACTAGTACTAGAGAAAATCACAGAAAACGAAAAATGCGCGGTGCGAGGTAGATGTGCAAAATTTTCTAGTACTACTACTACTACATGGATACCAGTAAATTTTGCACATCAAAGCTGAAAGAGATGGGCAACGATACTGGAGGAGTATTTATTTATCAGCATTGAGCTGGGGAGGAGCTATTATCTTACTAGTACTAATAAGTACGGTGATGCTGACTGCATGGTAGAGTAGTGAATTGGTGATGAAGGAAGTGAGGTGGCAGACAACGAGATAAATAAAACCTTCCCAAAGCCCTAATTTTAGTTCCATCCAGTACGTTAAAAAATAAATAACCGTCTTGTTATCCTATACTAGTTGTGAACTAGTGTCCAGTCAGCAGGGAATAGGCATTGACTATTCCTCTGATGGGAGGTGAGATAGATGGAAATGATTGATCCTCGACCGTGTTATCCGTTAAAAAAATGCAGCATGTTGGCTCATTATTTATCCACGATTGTATCTTCCTTAGGAAAAAAAAACACCACAAGTTGCAAAAAGTAGTTTTGGTAGGGTGAAAAATATTGACATAAGGTAACGAGATAAGCTTTTGTGCAAGATGAAGCGGTGAGAAGGCGTCCATTTGATTGGGCAGAACTTTATGGTCCATCCATCATCATCTGACATCCTCTGGTAACCACTACAGAGCGAAGGCAACGACGCACAGACAGCGAAAGAAAGAAAGAAACACAGGCCGAGCTCATCAGCAATAGCAGACCACGCTATACATGCATCAGCACAAAATGAACAGTTTGGCGCCCACTGATTGACCACCCCGACGTTGATTGCCAATGGATAGCGGTTTGTTTTCGTCTCAGCAGATTTGTCCTATGTTAGCCACTAGTATTAGGGAATTATGTTACTACTAAAGGCGTTTAGTAGGCGGCATAAAAATCGACAAGAAGTGGTAATAATATTGTTGATGAAGTTCATCTCTTGACCGAGCCTGCGTAGCAACCTGAGATTTACTTAGTTGGGAAGGAGTATTACCTTGTAACTCCTGAGCTGCTCGTTCTCCTCTTCCAGTCGGGAGATCTTGTTCTCGAGCTCGTTCGTGTACGCCTGCCCAAATCGGAGTGGGTGAGCTTGTGAGCGTGCAACAAATGCAAGAGAGATTTGGGGTCTCGAACGGGAGGGACCCACCTGCTTCCTCGCGCGCGACCTCGCCGCCGACTCCCGGTTCTTGATCATCCGCTTCTTTCGCCGCTCCACCGTCTTCTCCCCGGGGCCGCCCACGGCGGCACGCTTCTGCCCGGACATGGTGGCCCCGTCGTGGTCGTGGTACAGCGCGTCCAGCACCGGCCCGGCGCCCACCCCCAGCGGCCGCGGGAGGGGACGGGCGACGTTGTTGTGGCGCTGCTGCCCCGGCACCGGGACCGGGGCCGGGGGATTGTACTGCTCGGCCCAGTGGGCGCCCCCCGCGTCGCCGCCGGGCCTGGACAGGAAGTCCTCCAGCGTCATCTGGGCCCGCGGTCGGCTGGTGCCGCCGTCGGCGCCGTGGATGTCCCGCCACACCTCGTCAGCCGTCCTCCTGGCCGAGCCGGCCGTGCGGAGGAGGTCGTCGAGGTTGACGCCGTGCAGCTGGCCCTCGACGTCGCTCAGCGTGAGGCTGCAGAGCGAGCCCTGGCGCGAGATGGCCCCACCGGACGGCATTGCCTGAGTTCCCATTCACTCACCCACTCACTCCTCACTCACCAGTAGAGTACTCACTGGCCGCGCGGGAGGAACACCTGCAAGAAACGTGAGCGTGCACTTGCATGGCAGCACGGAGAGACGCCGCTCCACCACTTGTCTCCTTTCCCTTCCCTTGGAGGCGAGGCTGGCTGGACAGCTGAAGAAGAAGAAGAAGGAGCAGAGGAGGCAAGGATTTACGATTCCTCAAAGGGAGTGGTGGGCTTGGGCCGATGGGGGCAGACAGGCGATGCCTCAAGATGGGGAGAATCCAAAAAGGGAGGAGCGAGAGGGGGGAGGGGAAAAGAGCTCCTGGCTTTTTAGCGAGGCCAGCCAAGGTTGCTGGCTTTGCTTTCAATTCCATCGCCTTTTCGCCCGGTGGAATTTTTATTTTATTTGTGGCGGGCGGGCGCTGCAGTCTCTGCAGGCTGCCTGGCTAGCGAGCAGGTATCGAGTAGTGACAGCGGGTCAGCGAGTGCCACAGAGGCCGGGCCCGCTCAACAGTCCGTTCCATTCAGACGTGCTGTGCAGAATTTGCTGGAATTTCGACCTAGCGAATAGTAAACGATGCCGTATCTCCTCAAAGCAAGGCAAATCATTCCGAGCGGGAGCCGAAAGTAGGCAAAGATTCAGGGGCGAATCGTGGCGTGAATATACCACTTGTGTGAACCACAACGGGCACATTGGTTTGACCTCTAGGCTCTAGCTGTAGGAAGGAGAAGCCTAGGACGCGAGAGCTAGGCTGGTGCCGAAAAGCAAGGATGACCCGATGGGAACATCTCCATCCGTTCGGCCCCATAGAGGCTTAAAATAACGTTGTCTGAGGGCCAATCGGCGATAAAATCGACGTGGGGCTCGGGTTCCCAGCCCGCCGGCCCCTAAGTTCATCCCCTAGTCATCGATTTCAGCCCAATTTAGACGCAAATTGATCCAAATGCTGCCCACATTCGGCGTGTTTCGTCACAAATTCAACTAAAACTATTTTTATCACATAATTCATCACAGAAATCAATACAAATCAAATAGTTCAACGAATCAAAGTCATAATTCAAACACAAATAAAAATCATATTTCATCACACATCGAGATAGGCATTGCCTTTGAGCCTGCATAGGTGCTCCACAAGATCGTGTTGCAGTTCTTGATGCACCTGTGGATTTCCGATCTCCTGACACATATTGAGGAAGGCAGCCCAGGTTGCCAGTAGCTGGTGATCAACTTGGACAAGAGGATCCTGCATGTAATATGGTTCAGTGTCAAACATTGTCTCTTCCTGCTCACTCTCAACAATCATGTCGTGCAAGATGACACCGCAAGTCATGACTTCCCACATTTGATCTTTCGACCAGGTCAGAGTGGGGTACCGGACAACAGCAAATCGAGGTTGGAGCACGTCAAATGCCCCGCTCGACATCCTTCCTGCAAGCCTCCTGGCACTTGGCAAAGCAGGAGTTCTTGCCTCCTGTCATAGGGTTTGAGATAGTCTTCACAAATGTGCCATCTACTAGGTAGTATCCCTTATTGTAGTGGCGCCCATCGACCTCGAAGTTCACCGAAGGAGCATGACCTACAACAAGCTTGGCAAAGACATTCGAGCACTACAGTATGTTGATGTCATTGTGAGTTCCTGGCATACTAAAGAAGGAGTGCCAAATTCAGAGGTCGTGTGTGGCCACTGCCTCAAGTACCACACTGCAAGCTCCTTTAGCGCCTTTGTACATCCCCTGTCAAGCAAATGGACAATTTTTCCATGCCGAGTGCATGCAGTCGATGCTTCCAAGCATTCAAGAAAATCCTCTTGCTGCATTTTGTGCTAGGATCCGAGTAGTGTCTTCAACATTGGGTGATCGCAAGTATTATGGTCCAAACACTGACATCACTGCCCTGCAGAGCTTGTACAAACACTTAATGGTGGTGGACTCGGCCATGCGTCCATAGTCTTCCAGTATATCACCGGGGCTCCGTATGCAAGCATCCTCATAGCTGCCGTGCACTTCTGGAGTGAGGTGAATCCAAGTGTGCCGGTGCAATTCTTCTTGCACTTGAAGTACTTGTCGAACTCCCGAATGGAATTCACAATCCTAACGTAGAGTTTTCGCTCATCCGATAACGGCGCCGAAATACTTTCTCACTGTGCAGTGGAGCGTCGACGAAGTAGTCGGCGTAGAGCAAGCAATAGCCCTCCAAACAATGCCTCTGCTTGCTCTTCTGGCGGCCCGGTGCTGAGCCACCTCGTCGCGGCTTTGCATTGCTCGCGAACAGGCCGGCCAGAGCGGCGAGGACCATGAGGTGCTCTTCGTCTTGGGCGTCGGCCTCGTCTTCCTCCTCCAGCAGCGCCGCAAACACCTCCTCGTCGTCTGAGTACATCACCGAGCAGAAAAACCGCCGAACACCTAGCGGTGCGTGGTAGGCGCGTAGCTGCCGGTATCCCCACCTTCATGGCTGGAGCGCCGAAAAGCTCGCCCAAGAGCGTGATGGAGGATGTCGCGGCGGACCCTCTCTTTTCGGCGGGGAAATGACCTTCCTAGCGGTGGTGGGTGTCGCAGGATCGTCACAACGGCGGAAGGGGTAGTGCGCGCGGGAGGGGGGATCTGGACGTGGAAAAATTGTTTTTTGCCTGACAGTGGTGGCCTATATGTCATTTTTCCTTCCGCTGGAGCCACCAAGCGCCCCCACCCGCCCGTGCGCTGGGTTCGCCCTGAAATCGCCGGGCCAAAAAATCGGCCTAACCGGCGGAATTCGACGTCCTGGGGTTTTTTCGGCGCCGACATAAAAAACTTGTCCTGGGGAGGGGGAGGCTGTTGGGGGCGTGATACGTCTCCAACATATCTATAATTTTTGATTGTTTCATGCTATTATATTATCTGTTTTGGATGTTTTATATGCATTAATATGCTATTTTATATGATTTTTGGGATTAACCTATTAACCTAGAGCGCAGTGCCACTTCCTGTTTTCCCCTTGTTTTAGAGTTTCGCAGAAAAGGAATATCAAACTGTCGGGGATATACCCTGCGGTATGACCCGACCAGAGTTATAACCCGACTGGGACTTGGTAAACCGACAGAGAGTTAAGACAGATGGTTAAGGCAGAGAGTTAAGACAGATGGTTAAGGCAGACAGTTAAGACAGATGGTTAAGTCAGATGGTAACCCGACAGATGTTAAGTCAGATCATAAGCCGGCAGATGATAAGCCAGATGGTAAGTCAGATGGTAACCCGACAGATGTTAAGTCAGATCATAAGCCGGCAGATGATAAGCCAGATGTTAAGTCAGATTATAAATCGGTGGACAGTCATAACCCAGGAGATATGGTCGCCTGGGGTTAATAAGCCCGAGACGTTAAGAAGCCCGAGATGTTAATAAGCCCATGAAGAGATGTCAGAATAGTGTAAGTCTTAGTCCGAGATGGACTCTACATGTAACCCGCCCCTTCAACTTATATAAGGAGGGGCAGGGCACCCCAAGAGGGGGGGGGGATCTTAAGGCTAGACACAACTAGGAGAGCCGGTTTACGGTGACTCCCTCGTGATGATAATAAGACACAGCCACAAACAACATGTAGGGTTATTACCGGATGATGTTTTCCGGAGCCCGAAGCTGTCCAAACCCTTGTCTTGTGTGTTGCGTCTCTCAGTTCCAATCAACCCCTCTCAAGCTACCACATAGATGCGTTGGCCTCACGACTAAATCCTCATAGTAGGACATCTGCCGTGACAATTTCATGACAGTTGGCGCCCATCGTGGGGCTAGCGCACGGTGGTGTTGAGTTTTTGGAGGGATCTTTCCTAAGATGTTGAGAAGCTCGTCATGTGTCAAATGTAGAAGAGCTGGCAAAATTCATTGTTTGTGATTGAAATTGTGATTAGCTTTGGAGCTGATAGTACAAGGATCAAAAGAAATTAAGGTGGCATGGAATACGGCGCCGCCGCTACCACAGGTCGAAGACGTGCACGAGACCAATCGACACAAGGATCATATCAGGCAGGCCGACAAGGAGAAAATTCACAGCATAATGTGTGTTTGGTGAGCAGTCAAATCGTCGAGTCAAGGTTGCCAAAAAAATTCCGCTGTAGTATCAACTTGTACGGCGTTCGTATCCGATTGCTACTGCATCTCTCCGGTCCAATGATTAAGTCTCGAGGCCGCGAGAGGCTCGATCGGCCAAGGTGCCATGTTTGTGTTGTTTCTCTCCACGTCATTTAGTAATCGATAGCAAAAGCAGAGAGCCACGGCAGGCAGTGCCTTCTGCATGGAAGGACGGAAGTTCATACATCTTTAAAAAAAAGAGGGGTCATCCAGGGGCCACGACCCGGAAACGAAGAGGGCAGTGACCCGGACTCCTCCACGGTCTGTGCCTTGCCTCTGCCCAGGATTCGAGTTGTTTGCTATTTCTGTCCGGAGCCGTCGGTGCGCCTCTGCCGCGTCGTCTATCAACGAGCCGCCACTGGCATGCCTCCGCCTTCGTGACCCTGTTTAAAGCCGTTGATCCACCGCCAAGTCTCTGTGGCCGGGCCTCACTGACTTTGCAAGCCGGCTTGGACGAGCCCGGCCACAGCTATCGCCATCTCTGTCTCATTATCGGAACGGGCCACGAGTCACTTCCAAGTCAACCCCGCGCAAACTCCACCCTCGAGCCACCTCTGCATCGAGCTGTCCTGACTAAGTCGCCAAGACCGACGATCCTCCGCTTCCCCTTCTGCGGCGAGTCATACTCTGTCGCACCAAACCGGTTTACGCCGCCCCCGCAGTAGGCTGCCTTGTGCGCTGCGGCCCCGTTGCCTCCGGGCCAGTCCTCGAGCTGCTGTGGCCTCCACTGCTGCGCCCGAAAGGTGTTCCACCGAGCCGCCGGCGTCTCGTCTGGCCGCTACCAACAGCGCCTTCTCAACCTGCCTCCTCGCGTCGGATTTCCGTCTCGCTGGTGAACCGCCGGCCACCTTCGTTGGAGTCGATGGAACCACCGCTTTGCCTACTCGCTCCACCAGATTGGCCTGGGG